GGCAAGTATTGTGCCTGCTTGACCTCAGCCCCCATGCACCGGGGTGCGTCCACCATGTGTCCCTCTCCCTTCGGCCACCAAAGGGAAGGGAGAGGCTTGGGTTGTGGCAGCCCCTTCCATGCAAGCATTTAGTGGCCAACAGTAGCTGGCCCCCTGGGTGGAGTCCACAGGCCTGCTGTGCCTCCTGGGTCCAGGGGGGTTGGCTGCCTTAATGCTCTTTCCATGCAACAGGCGGAGGGAGGCAGCTGCCTCAGTCAGCAGATTTTGGGAAGCAGCTGCATGGTGTCTCTGGCCAGGGCCACGCCTGCATTGCCTTCAGTGCACTCAAAAATGGCTTAATCTAACTAAATAACTGTTCTGAATTCAGACCTGGATTCCATACTAGTTGCTATGGTTGGTGACCTTTAGTGGAAGAAAGCCTGGGAGGAGAGGCAGTGCTACCTTCGGGACACCTGGCAGCCTCTTAGTGGCATTCGTGCACTCAAAAATGGCTTAATCTAAATAAATAACTGTTTTGAATTCAGACCTGGATTCCATACTATGGTTGGTGGCCTTTAGTGGAAGAAAGCCTGGGAGGAGGGGCAGTGCTACCTGCGGGACACCTGGCAGCCTCTTAGTGGCATTTGATCTCATTAGCCATCAGCTATTGTTCACCCAGTAGCAGGAGCTAGGAAAGGGATGACCTGCAAGGGTGTAGTCTCTATTCCGGTGTGCCATTTGTGGAAATTCCCTTTCCAGCTGATTGTCCATCTGCCCCAGAGTTCAATTGTTCAGACTCAAATTGAAGAAGATCTAATTATATGTTCATCCTGGTGCACCTTGTGATGAATGTGCTTGGTGTGTTCATATTTATCAGTGTTGCTCTCTAGTGCTAGCTACTGTCATGTTAAAGGATTTCCATGTGTTCTACTTTATGGCAGTGCGTACTTTGTGTTACTAGTTGCCCTATGATCCAGCTCATATAAATAAATACATAAATAGCATTGCCTTTTTCTCTAGCATCATTTTAGTATTTTGAGTAGATCTTTTCACAAGTACTAAGGCACACTATAGCCCACCATTTTTAATTTTTTTTTTTAAAAAAAAAGATGAAAGTAGTGCCTAAATTAGAAATGCTTTATTAGGAATTAAAGATTTTTTCTTTTTTTTAATGATCAAAGAAGTACTGATTTCATGCACAAGATTTAAAAAAACCTTACATTGGGTGAGTTCTTTGTTTTTTTTTCTGATCATACTGTGCTAGACAGTAGGTTTAGCATGGGGGCTGAGGTTTGGTATGAACATTTGATGTATCCTCACTACTATTTTCTGAACTCACTGAAAATTCAAATACCTCCCTCTCCTCCTTGAATGGAGTCTACATTCTAACAGATTATATAACATCTGGTTCTTGGTGTTACAGGTTTGCCAAAAAACTTTATGGGGCTTTTTTTAAAATTTGAAAATACATCGTTGACAGTGACCAAATACTAACTCAGTGGCACAACGTAATAGCTTTGTTGAAACATTTTTGTCTTATCTTAGGTGTGTTACATGGCAGGTAGATGAAACTTAGTGATACAGGTTATAATGTTGCAGATGATAATGTCACAGAATGTTTACCTTGCACATGTAATTGTGTGTGAGTTCTGGGCAAAGCATGATTCTAGAGGACCTAATTGTTGTGTCCTCATGCTTAGGGGATAAAGAACTGGGTGCTCAGAATTGTTTTGTGTGGCTAGAACATGGTAGGATGTACCAAAGAAAAGGCTCCATATCTCTCAGTACAGAGAGTCAACTACAGTCCTACCAATAGTGTCAAACAATATTTAAGGACATAATTAGAAAAGAAAAGTTTTAGAAGAGGTAGCTATGTTAGTCTGTACTAGCGTATCAGGCAAAAAATAAAAATAAAAAAATAAAGACGACAAAAACATTGTGGCACCTTAAAGACTAACTGCTATACAGTATTTTAATGTAAACTTTTGTGGACAGTCCACTCCCTCAAACTTAAGACATAAGAGTTAGAAAAAAAGAGTTTCTTAAGTGCTGAACAACATCTTGATTGTTCAGCACAGGCCTTTGACGCCTCCCATAATTTGCAAATTTAACTTACTTTGTTTTGTGATTAGGAGATAAACGTACTGTAGTCAACATTTTCTAGTATGATTGGTCATAGCCAAAGCTCTGTCAGAATCAAATCTTTGGAACATTAACATGATTTCAGCTTCTAGTGATGTGTGCCTGCAACGTATAATCTGACTCCTAGTTTCCACATGGGAACAGCAATGATTGGGCAGTACTTAGTGCCAGTCTGGAAGTGCCTGTAGTCAAGAGGTGAACCCTCTCTTACAGCTGCTTCTTCTTCTTCTTTATTTTTATTATTTCTTTATTTAATTATTTATTTATTTGTCTATAGGGAGGCATCTTTCAGAGTCTGCCCAGGGAGATCTTAGCGACCTTGAACACAGTGATAAATGTGTTTGCCAGGAGATGTTTGAATGGGTCACATACCATGTAATGGGCCTCCATTTTTTAAAAAATTAATAAATGTTACTAGTTACTTTTTAAAAAATTAATAAATGTTACTAGTTCACAGAGCAATATTATGCCTCCCTACTTATTCAACCTTTCTTCTAGAACTTAGAAAAAGTTATTGGGGATGGGAATTCCCAGCCAGCATGTGGTCTTGCTACCTGAGGAATTAATTATATGACCAATACTTTAAAAATTGACTTTTCCTGGCTCTGATCTTGCTCTAGATTAACCCAGAAGGCAGAGGACACTGCAGCAACTGTACACACAACAGAAGGCTGGACATATGCCTTTTCCTGTTGCAATAAAAGATATTAGGGGAGCTCAGTTAGCTTCAAAATGGGGAAAGAAGGAGGGGGAAGACAGTTCCCCTCATGCTGTAATTTCTGCGAAAACGACCCTGCTGGAGAATGCTCTTCATCCAGAAATGAAAGTTGCTACTAGTCAGATCTTTTTCAAACAGAATGCTTGCTGTCAACTGCGTCTTTATGTGTTTGATCGTTACTAAGTTCCATATCCTGGCAGTTGTTAACTTCTGGATTGTATATCTAGACTCTCTTGCCTTAAAACTGTCAACTTTCCTGTTACATAACAGCAGGAATTGGCTTGCTGCCTTTTAAGGAGAGACTGGTAAGGTATTTACTAGCTTCAGTTCCAGTCTTCTGAAGAGCAAGGGCGTTGTTCACTTAGCACTGAAGCAGCTGGAAATGGGGTGGGAAGCAAAGAATCAGCTTTCGTACTGCGGATGGACTCTGTACATGCCATTCTGGCTTATTAAGCAACATTTTAACAAGTTAAGATAGATTTACAAGCGCTTAAAAACCCCCCGAAGTAATTTGTGTTCACCCTTAAGCAAAATGTTTCATAACAGCCACATTAACTTTAATGTAACCAAGCATTTTTACTGTTGACAACCACAGAACAATCGGGGTTAAAACTAAGAGTTTGTAGTTAATATTTATGATGGAGTGTATGACTCACCTGTGAAGCAATTAAGTAGTGCTTTTTACTGGCATAGTATTTGAGATAAAGGATTCCTCTTCTGAATACTCCTGGATGAATTTCTTACAATGTTTCTGCATGCTGTTTTCAACACTGTTCTTTCTCAACATGATGCATTACTCTGCTGACCATTCTGCACTGTTAAGATTATTTTCCTGAAGATCACTATATATTTAAGAGAGATAATATGTATAATACGTACAGTATTCACTATTAGTCCCATGTCAACACATCATCGGGAATAAGTAGAAGAAAAACTAAATAACAAAGGAGTAGGGAGAAAGTGTGTCTTTTCCCAAGCATGGAAAGGACACTTCATGCCAGCTCACCCCAAACCCCACGTGTGGGCATAGTTACAGCGGTGCCTCACATAGCGACATTAATCCGTGCAGCAAAAATCGCTGCTAAGCAATTTTGTCGCTATGCGATTTTAAAAAGCCCATAGAAAGGCATTGAAACCCCTTCAATGCGTTCCTATGGGCTTAAAACTCACCTTAAAGCGAAGATCCTCCATACGGTGGCCATTTTCGCTGCCTCTAAAGCGAGGAAGCCGCGCGAAAACACAGCGTGCGGCCATTTTTTTTAACCCGGCAGCCATTTTGAAACCACCAATCAGCTGTTAAAAAATCATCGCTTTATGATGATCGGTAAGCGAAACAGGGAACCGATCATCGCAAAACAAAACAAAAACCATAGGAAACATTGCAAAAAGTTAATCGCTATGCGGTTTCGTCGCTAAACGGAGCACCCGTTAAGCGAGTCACCATTGTATATGTATTTTGGATAACTAGGTAACATAAAGTTGCTGCTCTCGGCATTTCCTTATACCTTGTGTACATCACTGTGGTAGCACCTGGAAGGCATCAGGAAATATTTAGTATAATGACATCGGAGGTGTAGATATGGCTCAACCATTTTGATGTGGGCCATATGGTCCCCTAGGGGTCCCTGGAACATTTGAAGGGGGACACAGTCTGGAAGAATCTTCAGACACCACCTTATAAAAGGTTTGTTATGTGACTTAGGCAATCTTGATTCAATCTATATTTCTTTCACATTGTGTTTATGGCCGTGGCCAAAAAAAGATTGAGAGTGGCTCCTAGATGACATAAGGCTGAGTGGGGAGGAGATATGACCTGTGGCTACACATTTTCAGAAGCAGCACAATGTTTCTGATAGAATGTAGTTCTGCCACATAAATAGCTTCCCCGTTTTTAAATGATGTTCTTAATAGTATACATATACATCTGAAAGGTGGCTCCTCCACCAAAATCCTCATTCTTTTAAGCAGTACACAGCTGGATCCTATGCCTATTTACTCACATTATATCCTAAGTGAATTCAGTAGGGCTTTCCCCTACTTTATATACAGATTGCATTTCATTAGTATTGCTTACCACTCTCTGTGTTAAGTTGGCTATAGATTAAATTTGTCCTACATAAACCATGTTCAATTTATAAATGTGAAGAAATGTGTCTTTCAGATTAACTGTATGCATTCAAGTACATGTCTGCACAGCCAGAAGATACTGGATTATTAATCCCCAAGGATTTAACAGAAATTTGGAGTGCTTCTGACCCCTGGCAACCCAGTGCAAAGTGCACCCAGCAATCAATATTGAGAAAGAGGTCTCATCCATATTCCTTCAGGACCGATGGTATTTTATGCTCAAGAATGGAGCACAACACCTCCAGCATTTGAAAGAAGGCTAAAAGAAAGGTATGGATACTTCCTGCAAAGATCAATTTTTAAGTCAGTCTCGATTTGCAATGTGGTAACATCTTCCTATAGTAAATCAAGTTCAACACCTCCACCTTTCTGGATTTGCCAAGTTGCTGCTCTCTATAAAGATGAAGGGAGTATTAGATATTGTTAATTATTCTTTCAGCCTCTTCCTTGGTGCCAGAATTTATAAATTATCGCCTTGTCTTTGAAACATTGACAGACTCCAAATTCAAAAATAAGAGCAGAAGCAAAGCTCAAGTTCAGTTGATACATGCTTCAGAAAGAAAAGGATGGTTCCTGGTGCAGATGAGAAGAAAGGAGAAATGCCTCCATCTTCTGAATCTGCAAAATCCAAGATCTGAAATGGGAAGTCAAAGTCTCTTCTCTCCATATGCATCTGCAGTCAATTTAAGGGCCAGTTTGCTCATGAATGTGACTGATCATCTGGATGTATTAGCCCCTGTCAAATGCCCACCAAAGCAGATGTTTCATTACAGCACTTGATGATCATATTTTCCAAGCAATACAGGTCTGACAGTTTCTTTGTGTTTGGGTGAGAAGTGATTAAACTGATGAAGCAAGGAGTCCAGTTCTGGGATTTTCCCCTGCCTGGTGTCTCTTTGTGAATGATAGTGATCAAGAGAGGGTATCCTGTAGATGCTCTTGACTGCTGACAACATTCAGGCTGCCCTTTGCTGTGTAACGTAGCATCTTTTTTCCTGCTGGCAGCACAGGCACAATATTTGTGCAGCAATATCAGTCCATGATGAAGCAAAGATGTGAGTAGGTGCAACACACATGAAGGAGAAACACACATACCCTTAAACCTCTTGGTTACATGAATTTTGCCTTGCCTGCTCTGCAGAATGCATACTAGAAAGCTATCTTCCAATTTCCAAACTCTTGCTCTACAAACGTTACAGGTGTTAAAGCTGGGAGTTAGCAAAGACTGTCACTTGAAAATAAGGTCCAAATTATCCATACTATATAAAAGATGGACAGTGAAGAAAGACAGGGGAGTGGGAAATCAACTAATCTGAAACATGGTGTTGGAGGTGAGCCTTAAAGGTACCACAGACCACCATAAAAGCAAATAAGTGGGGTGCTCATTCAAGTCTGAAGTCTCACTAGAGCAAAAATGAGTAAGCTGAGAGTATGTATTCTCGAAGGCTGAGAGTATGTTACCCTTGCACATATAATGAGAATGCAGAACCGACCAGAAAAGACAATGTTGCTGGGGAAAGTGATGTGTGTGAGAAGCAGTAGGAAAAGAGAAAGACCTAGCATGAGATGGATTGATTCAACAAAAGAATTAATAGCTGTAAGTTTGCAAGACACAAAACTGTCTTTTACTGGAAAAGCCAGTTTTGCTGGGGGCGGGCAGTAGGAAGAGAGAATGACCTAACACGAGATGCTGTTAGTTTGCAAGATGTGAGCAGAGTTGTTAATGATAGAATATTTTGGGAAATTATTAACGCATATCATCACCACACATCAGAAGTGACTTGATGGCACATAACATCTTTGGAGATTTTTTAAAAAATATTATCATTAAAAACAGTATAATGGCAAGATGGGTGGAATGAAGATTATGACAGGATATAGGCACCAAAGCTCTGTTAACATCAAGTAAGTCCATCCCCAGCCAGGTTAAATAATTGAGTTTCTAACTTTTTATTCAGAGCATCAATAGCAAACAAATGCACATCCAAAAACAATGACTAATTAGTCTTTCTTTCTTTCTTTCTTTCTTTCTTTCTTTTCTAGGTGAGATTTGTGATTCGCAGCATGTCTTCCTTTCAGTAAGACAAATACATCAGCAAAGCTTGTGAATTTCTCTGTGTGTCTCTGTAGTTTTACACCATCACCAGAATGAGGAATTCATGAATCATTGCTAGCCCTGATTCACCAAAAGTGGTTGTTAAAATTCTGAGTCATTAAAGCGATTATTGCTTTGGCTGTGGAGAAAGACAGGATCCTTTGACACCTTTTGTTTGATTAATTGTGTTGACATGCTTGCAAGCCTTGGGGTTGTGTAGGAGATGTCCCTTGCTCAGTTAAATACAGTTATTTGGTATTTCTCAGTTAAAGAATTTTAAGGAGCAGGGCTGGGAGAAGCATCTGCCTGAAAACTTGCACTGTGGGGGAGGCAGAGGTAGATTAGATCTAGCATTAAAATATACAGTATGCATCAGCTTGGACCCAGTGTGATTCAGAGCTCTTTTGTAGATGCTGCTCGTAGTATCTAAAGCCTGCTCCCAAGTGAATCAGTAAAATGTATTCAGATGAACCCCCTAATGGGTCTGAATCCGTATGAAGTGTGCTGTATGAACCCAGATGCAAAACATCTGCATCTCCAAGAGGGCATCACAATGGTCAGAGCATGTCAGCCTCCCTTGGCGACAAGCTGTTGAGGCTGGATCCCATTGCTGAGGTGACAGCTAAAAGAGACAACAGTGGGTTGACAGTGAATGTGCATACAAACTCACAGAATTTTAAGAAACCATTATGGCCAGAATGATTATTTTAAACAGTGTCAGCCACTAAGAAAGCTACAGGTTTTCCACCAAACTGCAGTAAGCGGATCGGTCCAACCACAGTCTGCCTTGATGGGTGCCTGGTCCAGCAAGACACATCTGAAAAATCACGTGTCTGGGCATGAACACACACTTGGAATGCAGGATGATGCCTGTCAAGGGCTATTTGTATGACACACAAAAAATGAAGGTGCCTGTGCTGTAAGAAACATGTCAAAGTCCCTATCTGTGTAATTATCTGTAGCCTAAATCTAGTAGATACTCACAACTAGAACAGACTCATTGAATGAACGGTACTTGTTAAGTCAACACTTAACATACATTCCATTGATTCAGTGGATCTACTCTAGTTGACATAAACAATTGGAACAAGCCTTTTATTAGAGCAGCTGAAAAGTCACAAAAATATGCTTGTAGAAGGACAGCTGTCCCAAGCTTTAAAACAATAATAGTAAGAATGCTATCTTTGTGAATTTTGATTTTGTCACCACTGCACTTAAGGTTGCAATTGTGTGCAGCACAATCAGTTAAAAGTACTATACACTTCTAAGTACTGTGAGATTCAGCTGAGTAAATGTGATGGATTGAATGGAGCATCTGTAAAGTATTGATGGGCTGACAAAATGTGTTATGTCACAGTGCAAATCTATTCATTCCCCCCCCCAAATTTTATTTTTGTCTTCCAGATTCCTGAAATGCAACTTTGGGGTACCACTAGACTTCATCTGTGTCAGAGTCAAACTGTCCTTTGGGGTGAGGTAGTAGGTTGTATAGTTTTAGGGTTATACCCTGCATGTCAGATAACTATACAATCTACTGTCTTTCCTGAAGCGGCTGTGATAGCGGCGTAGGACAGATCTCATCACCAACACAGGAAACAATGTCTAACTATCATTGCTGACGTATTGTGTATATTTATAATAAGGACTGGATAATGAGTTGAAAAATCATTATAACATTTAAGACTGCACTCCTATACCCTCTTTCTTGGGTGTGCCACTGAACATAGTAGGTGGTTCTGTGATTATTAGGCCACATTCATTAGAGGTCCAAATTGCAGTGCGAGACCCATCTAGCAACTGCCACTTAATATCAGCTGGGGGAGTGGAGGGAGTCCCTGTGGTTATTACCAAGGCTTATTACTTTGTGAGAGAGGAAGCAGAGTATGATCTTGCACCACATAAATAATGAGAGAAAATCACCCCAGTAGATTTGCTGTGGTAGTACTTGAGGTAAGTAAAGTGCACAGTGCAAAATGGCTGCTGATACCAAGTGGGATGGGGGTTTGAAGAGGGCCCATGTGTGTCACTAGACAGAGATGAAGGTAGATGGAGATCCAGACACACATGGTACTAATGCTACAAAACAGCACTTGGAGAGTGGCCAGAAGTGGCAAGCCCAGATACGACCTACTGACAGCGTCAGCCTCTGGCTGGCACTGCAGAATACTCCTCAGACATAAAACATGGCTTCTAGTCAGTGGATCTGGCAGCATTGCATTGCTCACCAACTCTTTTACCACATGCAACATGGAAGCAGAACCCAACAGCTTGTGATGTTATGCTCTGGCAGGGTGAGGTAGTAGGTTGTGTGGTTTCAGGGTAGTGATTTTGCCCCAATCAGGAGATAACTATACAACCTACTGCCTTCCTTGAGGAGCAACTTTGCAGCATACCCTGAAATCAGCATCGTTTAAAATTATATAAGCATACTACAAAATTCTAAACATGGGTTTTGTGCCACTTTAATTTCACTGCCTTCCTCATAAATATACTGGCTGTTGTTTTTTGGTTAGAAGCTGAGGATTTCCTGTTAGACATACATTTCCCCCTAAACCAAACTACATCTTCCTGGAGGGGGGAGGGTCCATAACTTTAAAGCCAGTTTCAAGCTACAGTACAGAGAAACCCATCAGGAATTTTGGGGTCTTTGTTACCACCAGAGTAAAGCTGTAGTTTTCTTAATGTGTTTCTAAATATTCCTAAGGTAGCATCTTAAAAATTCAATAACTTATTTTGCTTTTTTGAAGAGTTTGTCTTAATATTTAATTTGAAACTACTGTGATCTGAGAGAATAAACACCATGATTGTATAGTATTCATTTTTGCATGGACTTTTCCTTGTTTTCTAACACAGACTGCCTGCCTATAAAACAGTCTTCATAACAGTTATTAATCACCAGCACACTTATGCTGTAAAACTTCCTTTGATTCAGTTTTTCCCCTTTATCACATAGATGAGCATTTGAGAGCAAGGAGACAGCCCTTATCCTCTTTTTGAACAGGATAAGGATTTTGAAATGTAAGGTTCCAGACCTCTCTGTATGTGTTTCCTTAAGAGTAAGTCTCACTGAGCTCTGTGATACATCTGAATTTGGCTTTTATAATAATTTTGACTGTGATGATTCCCCACAAAAAAAGTATGAGATACAGTTACAGTGAGTTACTACTACCTCACCCTCCATTTTTCTGGGGGGAAGAAATTTGTGTTAAGCCATGGGAAGGGTGCTTTCAGACTGCTATTTCCTAGCACTAATGTTTTAGCTTCCTGTTTCAATGCTGTCAGCCAGTAATTATGTGACAAGACATTCTAGCACAAATTTAAACCCACTCATTCAACTTGGTACTTTCAGATACATTAGACAACAAATTCCATCATCTACAGCTAAGATGGCAAATGAGCAGAGTATGGAACATTGTTTAAAAGTTAATTGTGGTGTGTGTATGATGTGCTGTCAAGTACTGAGATCCCAGTAGGGTTTTCCCAGTATTTAAGATTTTCAAGGAGTGGTTTTATCACTGTCATTCCCTCAGTGAGATTCCATGGCTGATTGAGGATTTGAACCTAAGTCTCCTGAGTAGCAGTCTGCCACTCTACCCAGTACACCAAGCTGGCTCAGAAATTAATTAGTTGCAGCCAAATTTCAGAAATTAGAAAATCAGCGTATTGTTGTCAACATTTACTATTGAAATTTTTAACTAGGCATTATTTACACTTTTATTTAAACATTCATGTACTAGACTCTTTGCAGAGGGTATATGTCACTCATGCCTCCTCCCTAAAGGGACAAACACATATGGAAAATTGTTTTATAGTAGATAGTTTAACCTTCAGAATATAAATGGAACTGGACTGCGACATCCTAAAACATTAGTTAAAACAGTAAACAATCAACATTATTTCTCTCGGAGTTTGGAATATAGTTTTAAAACCTCCCAGTTTGGGAACCAGTACTCTATATAGAGGTAATCAGCTGTTCTCGGTATTCATTTTCTTGTTGCTGAAGCTGCTTTGTTGAACTGAGAAACAGGCCGCTATTTCCTCGGGATCAGAAATTTCCTGCTCTGAGGCACTCTTTAATGAAATTTATCCTCTCAGGTAAAACTTTTTACAGTTCAGTGCCAAAAAAGTACTAGGCAGATTGGTTGCTTATATAGCATGACTTCCAACCTCATAGCTTCTGGTAGTCTTAGACTATCGCGCCCAGACGCATACCATAGACGCAATGTTCCCTCTAAGTGGCATGCATGCACGCTTGCCCAGAGCTCTGTCGGGTTCTGTACAAGTAGCCAGTGCCTGGTCTGTTTACTTTCCATTTTGAATGAAGCCCCATCCACACCCAGATACACGGAGCAAAGTTCTCACACAGCAAGACAAAAACTTAGAGGGAATGTTGCATAAGTAGTTAAAAACAGGGTGTCTCAGTATTATAGTCCAAGTAGATTTGTAGGGTCAGGCTTTAGTTATGTAGTATAAATACTGTATAGTTTTCAGAGCTTAGCTATAGACCTTTTTCCCTTTGGGGGGAGATAATGTGAGCTGGTATATTCCCTTCTTCAGAAGCAAATATAGCTAGTACACAACATATGAAACATATTATTAACATGACTTTTTAACCATTAGAGGGCCTTTTTTGTGTCAGTCTGAAAAAGTAACAAAACTTAATCTATTAACGTTAATACATTAGTTCCAAGCTCTGACAATGAACATGCTACTTGGGACTCATAAGTGATATTTGTAGAGTGTTTGGTTGATGGTGGATGAGCTGAAGATAAATTGCCATAAGTAAACATGCTGATAATTTTGGCATTGACTGGACAGGTAATAGTGAAGATGTGCCAAAGTAGAGTCATGGTGAGTAGCTAATCTTTGCAGTATAGTAGGACCTCTGCATCCATAGGATCAGTATCTGCTAATTTACATATCCATGGTCTGAAAATATTAAAAATATTAGAAGAAAAATCCTAGAAATAGATATAAAATATATCAAAAGAATGTCCTTGCCAATAAGGTAATTGCTCCTGCTGATCTATTCCCCTCCATCTCACCCTCACCCAAAAGGAATGAGTTTTTTTGCAATT